GACATCTTTCCCCAATAAATGTAAAATAATTATATGTTGTTTTCAGGTCCTGGGGCTTGGGCACTGTCCCCAAGCTCTTTTTGCTCAAGGCTAGCATCTTGTCAATCGAGCAACAGCGCCACTTCCAGCTTTCTCTGTGATTTAATGGGAAATAAAAGACTCACAGACTTTCCTGCCTGGGCTAGCTTAGAACCAGAATCTTCACATCTTAGCCTCTCAAGTAGCTCCCAAATAGGATTACAGGTTTGAGCCACCTGTGCCTGGCTGTCAAAGACATTTAAAATACACTTCGATGCTTGGAAACTTGGTACTTGGTAGCATGTAAAATTTTAAATATTTTCCTTAATTCTGAGCATGTTAATTTAATGCTACAAGTATTCATGGATTCTTAGGTATAATTCTGAACATGGTAACATTATTATGTTAGTATTGAATCAACATTACAATATTAGGGCTCTGGCTAAATCAAAATCTACCAATCAATCCTCTCCCTTCCTCTTTTCTTTTTCCCCTCCCTTCCCTCTCTTCTCTTCCTTGCCTCTCCTCTCTTCTCTTCTCCTCTCCTCTCGACTCTCTCTTTCTCTCTAACTCAGTTTGTCATTGTAATTGCTTGATGGAATGTTGCAATGCTATCTCTCAAATTAAAATAGGTTGAAGTTTCAGCTTTCTTAAAGTTACTTTTCTATACAGCCGTACAATGAAATATTACACAACAAGTTGCAAAGTAGATGTCTATTTTAGAACATCAACCTATGTTGCAATCTATTATGAAGGGAAAAAGTTCAGGTTAACACACATATAGTAGAAATCAATTTTCTTTCTAAGTACATATTTACAAGAAAACTGTCAAAATATACAACCTATAGGTCTTAGTAGTCTTTGAGTAGTTAGAATTCTAACAGCTATTTTTCCTTTGTTATCTGTTAAATGTTCTCATAATGAGTGCGAGTTGATGTAACTAAAAAAATGCATTAAACTAAAATTAGGCTTTATGGACTGAATTGAATAGGGTATAAAGAATGATAGTAAAACAGATCCATGTGCTGAAAAGCTAATGATTTAGATGTCATTACAGAGTCATCTGCTGGCCTCACAAAATTCAAGTGAAAATTAAAAAGAGGAGCTGTGCCCTCTTGTTCTTCCACTTCTCTCCTAATTCCATTGGTCCCTTGACAACTGTTCTCCAGTGGGGAAGGACACTCCAGTGGGAATTCAGTTCTGCTATGTTTCCCCTTCCTCTAATTCAGAGGTATGAAAAAAATCAACCCCAGAGCAGGTTTTGCCTCTATGTCCGCATAGACACCAGGCCTTGTACCCTCATTCTCGGTAATTCCTGTCATATTTGTCATAACCACTGCTACTCTGCAGGATTTTCTTCTCAATGTCTGGCAAAACGTGAAACTTTTTACAAACCTTCTGCCTTTGTTTCATTCAACTTCCATATCCAGTACATCTATTTAAAGTATTTATGCAAACGTCATGTTATGTTACTCAGATGCTGAAAAAAAAAAGACAGGAATGCTCTTTGATATGAAGACAAAAGCTGTTGTCCTTAGCCTAGAATTGGGAGCTCTCATTCATCTAAGCTCATCTCTTGAACAGCTTTGTTTTTTTAAATATAGTTTCTGCCCCCTTCCCCAAACAGCGTATACATTAAATCTACCTTAACTCCAACTCTCTCAAGTCTTAGCTCTTCTTATTCCTTCTACCCAGAATGACTTCCCTTATGGTTTTTACCAGGTTCATGTACATAAGACCAAGTTCAGATTCTATACTTCAGATGATCCTGGCATTCTCCATCTCTAGAGTGACTCCGTCTTTTCTCTTGAGCAATGCTGGGGAATGCAAGGATGCTCTTCCAAGCTAAATGTCCAATGCCTTGCTAGCAAAGACCCTGTTGTGCTTTTCAGTTTTAAAATCACTCAGACTTGTATCTTTTCAGAAATCATTTTTAAAGTGACATAAAAATTTTAATTCATTGAAACCTCGAGCAACATCTTTTCTAAGCATTCTGGGACTGATTTACAAAAGTATAACCTTCCACAGATTCAGTTCTTCATTTAAATAAAGAAAAAAATCCAAGACAAATCAATAATATTTGAGTTAACTACAATGAAACACACACACACACACACACACACTTTTGTTCAACTTTTTATTTCTGAAAAATAAATGTCCTTTTCTCATTGAATGCATTTAGGTAGAGCATGTAAAAGTTTGTTCAAAACACACAATCATGGCTTGCCTCTAGCAGAAATAATGTGTATTCCTGCTTCCCTTTGTAAATAATTGAATTTACCTCAGAAGTTCAAGAAGTTCAACCTTGCCTTTTGCGTGTGAAACTGACTGCTTCTCTTTGCCTTTTATTTGCAGGAGACTATAATATAAGGCCGAAGAAACACTGTGCAACTGGGCTTTGGTGGGCAGGAGGATAATAGGAAAGATTGACATGACTTCCATAGAACAGTTATTTTTAAGTACAGAGATTGCCTATCCCCGCGCTGAAAGGGCCTTTGGAAAATACTGCCAGGATTGGAAAGCAGTAGGGGCCCAACCCATCCTGCAGGACAGGCAGGCTAGTCTGTAGGATGTTGCTGCCACCTGCTGATGTGCTCAGCCACAAAGGAGCTGCCGCCTGGGGTTTGCAACAGCAGCATACCAGATGCATTCAATTAATATTCTGTGACCACCTGAAATTTTTCTTCTCTCAGAACTTAGGTGATTCCCAAGGAGAAATTAATCTAATAGGATGTCTTCAGGCCTCAGAAGTGTGTGTGTGTGTGTGTGTATAAAACCATGAATCAAGAACCTGAAAAACAACTAGAAGAAGATTTGCAGAATAGTCATTGAATTTCTCCAACAACCTAGTCTGATAAGAGGCAAGAATTCTTTCAAAATTGAGTCTTTCAGTGTCTGGGAAATGGCAGTTTCCCTTTTCTGGGGTGCTCCTTTGTCTGATTTTTGTGAAGTTACTTCATTTTAATGCAATAAGAAATAGGAAACTTCTAAATAAAGGTAAATGCCCTTTAAAAATTCAGTAAGTTTGTGTCTTTATAAGTTTTCTACCCAGGCACATTTCTCTTACTATGGCAAATGGGATTTTGTAAGGGAGCAGATCCCTTTTCCAGGCCTGTAATGTGTCTTAATGTATAAGAGACACTAAATCTACAGACATCTCCTGGCCTGGTTCGCTGCTATATTCCCTCACTTTGGTTTACCAGAATTTCCAGCGATAGGACTAGATAAAGACTCCAGAGCAACAATTATTGCACTTCTTAACCCTTTAGTTAAGGACTTTGAGATCCCCAACCCTTTCCGGAAACAAATCATTGTCAATAGTTCCTGACATCCCCAGCAACCTGTGTGAGGGGAGTTGAGAGGGACAGGAATAAAGGTTTGAGGAGCCCTGGGCTAGGCAATAATTAATTCCACCTTCTGACCTTTGCAAGAAACATCAGTAGGTGAGTAGTAATGAGTAAGGATGAAGATTATCATAGCAAGGATTGGTAGTGATCACTCTAGTGGCAGCCTAGACTCCAGGAAGACCTCAGCCTTTGATTTGTCACATGCTAATCTCTTTTCTTTTTGCCTCAATTACGATCTCTGAGTGGCAAGTGTGATCCCTATGGCTTACCACCATTCATATTCCCATCAAGTCCTTCATAAAGGAGAAATCAATAAATGCATGATAGTAACCAAAATTACCCCCAACTGACTGATAAATCATCTCTAGCAAGGATAGTCAGCATACTCTTTTTGTTGGTGGTGGTAGTGGTGGTGGTGGTAGGTTGTGGGACTTGAATTCTGGGCCTGGGTGTTGTTCCTCAGCTCTTCAGCTCAAGGGTAGCACTCTACCTCTTGAGCCACAGTGCCACTTCGGTTTTCTGGTGGTTTACTGGAGACAAGAACCTCACAAACTTTCTTACCCGGTCTGGCTTTGAACCACAATTCTCAGATCTCAGTCTCCTGAGTAGTTAGGATTACAGGCATGAGCCACCCGTGCTGGGCTTTCAGTATGCTCTTAAATAGCAGCAGCAGCTCAGTATAGGGAAGAGGCCTGGTGGCTAGACAGACTCTGGTTGTTATCTGTCTCCCTCTCTGTCTATGTGTCTGTCTCCATCTTCCTTAGTGTCTTCCTCAGTCTCAGTCTCTGTCTGAATCTTTTTTTATCTGAATCCCTTTCTGTCTCTCTTTCTCTATTTCTTTTTCTCTTTTGACTGTGTTTGTCTCCCTGTGTTTTTCTCTTCTCTCTTTCCTATCTCTCTCTCCTTTCCTCTTTGCCTCTCTCCTCTCTCTTTCTCTCTCTCTCTCCCCTAGACACAGCTGAGCTCTTCTGCTATCAACAAAAAAGATTCCAGCCATGCTATTGTGAGACATCCCTATCTGACTCCCCACCTATCCTAGACAAGGGCTGGGAAAGCTCTCCTTTTTCTACCTAGGAAGTATTACCTTCCTTGCAAAAGCAGAGACAGTAACATTTCATTTCAGAGCTGACCTCACCCCCTGTCTCTTTTCAGAATGTACTAAAATTAAATGTATTAATTATTTGTTCTTTCACCCTGGAGCATGTCTGATAGCAAAATGTATCTTAAGACTGAGTAGAAAAACCAGCTCATATTTGTTCAATGACTATGTTCTTGGAGAAATCCACACACACAAAAAGCACATTGGTAACTTCTCTGCATGATTTCCTTTGTTTGGATTTTAGAAGCAACTTGACTGACAAAGAGATCCTGAAGGAACAACAAATCTTTGGATAAGGGAACATCTTTTAAAGAACATGATTCACAGGATTTCAGAGAACATTGTGCTGTTGAAAGCTATGCTTCGCTCTGAACCACCCTAGTTTCCTGTCAATGTTTCATTTCCTGGGTGCTTACTAAATGACAAACAGATCAGATTTGGGGGTTTTGATATGAGTTTGACTGGAGTTTACTTAATGATGTCAATTGGTTTCCGCAATCATTGAAGAAATGCTGGCATAAGCTCTTCAAGAAACAATGAGGAAGAAATGGATATACGGTGTTGTCTATTCCATCATCCAGATATAATTTGTCAAGGGTAAGACTTCCATTTCTCCTCTCTTGTCAGATCAACTACTTTGAAAGAGGCTTTGCTTATTTCAAATGCCTCATGACTGTTACTGAAATTGATTACCAAAGGCTAAATTGTTGCTATAGTTTTCAATTATGTAGATGTGACAGCTATCAAAGACACACTAGAGTTTAGAAAAATTACTAATGAACACTACATACAAGAAGGAAATGTGTGGGTTGAGCCACTGCTTCTGAGATATTCTCACCTGATTCTCTTATAAGAGGATCTCTGGAGTAACATGAGGGTTTATTGTGCTTCTTAGAAATACCCTCAAGTGATAGACAACTCCAGAAAGTGAACATTATCACAAAGCCTTACCCATGACTGGAGATCCTTGCTCAGTTGTACTCTACTCTCAATTACTCCTTTTTCTTTCAGCTATCTTAAGCATTTCTCCTTCAAATCTAAGGGTATTTTTTACTTAGTTCTATGTAGATATGTCTATGGGAGTGACACACTTAATCCTTGGGTCAAGGAAGACCAAAGTGTAAAGGGTCTATTTACATATAGAAAGAAGAAAGATTCATTTTGGTTTCCATAGTACAAAGATTTCATCGTAGTACGCCTGAGTTCCATAAGAATCAACTGTGCTTTTCAAGTAGCACTATAAGGATTTTAAGAAATTTGAAATCAAAGAAAACATCACTAGTATGTGACGCCATAGATACGATCAGAGGCATTTTATTAAAGAGTAGCTCACAGGGAGTTGCACTTAGCTGTACTAACCTCTGTCTACCACAACTTTTTGCATCTATGACAGCGCAGTGATTCCCATTCGTCAAGTGCCTTTGAGGGCCTTGTATTTTCTTGGTGACTTGTCATCGTTTTATCTTTTCCCTTTGTGAGCTTCAGTGGGACGTGTCATAATAATAGCATGTCTATAACAGTATTCTAAGTTATTCTAAAACCGAAGCTCACACATCTAAACGCACATCACAGCTTATTTCAAGGGCCCTGTACCATGTAGTCCATGCTGATGGGAATCAAAATCTTCTCTTATGCCTAGCAGTGGGTGTATTGGCTAGAAGGGGATGCTCTTTGGAACTTCTATTTGTGTCTTTCTCTCCTCACCTCTCCCAACCCCAGAAGTCCTGACTAGGTGGAGAGGAAAGTCCTTTCCATCCTCACCTTAGAGATGGCTGTTTCTTTACTCTGTTCAGCCTGACTGCATTTGGGAAGCAATTGGCATTATGAAGGTTATAGAGTCCACTGATTCTGGACAACTGGATTTCTGTCCTTGTTCTCGGGCAGGGGAATGACTGAGCATACCACTTCTTTTCTTGGTGCTTCAAATACCTTCTTGATAAAGAGGGTTAGCCTTGTCCCACTACCAGAATGGGAGAATTGAACAGATTACATGCATTGACAAAGCCTCTGAAAAACTGCTGCATACCAATGTGAGTTATTTTGTAGTTTCAGAAAGCCTGTCTGGTGTGTAATATGCAACTGTCGATTTAGAGCTCCAAATGACCAACTATATTTAATGTAAGAATAGCTTTCACACTTTTACTGGTACAATTCAGTTTTTAAATAGGCTTAATTTTATTCACAGGTAGTCACAGATTTAAATTGTTATTTTTTGGATCAACCAACAGAGAAGTATGCAAATGTCAGTCATTTTCTCTACATGCCTCTCTCTGTCTCTGTCTCTCTTTCGCACACACACACACACACACACACACACACACACACACACATGTATGCATAAACTCTTTTCTGTCCCTTAACAACCAGAATAAAATTTCCGTGGTTGCTTCCTTATTTAAACGAAGTGATTTGTTTGTTTTATTTTAGTTTGTTTTTTGCAATATTAGGGTTTGAGCTCAGGTCGCCCTGCTTGCTAGGCAGGTGCTCTGCCTTTACAGCCAATCCTGAATCCTTTTTTTTTAATATTTTTATTATTTTTATATAAAGTTTCGTGTTTGTGCCACAATCTTTCTAACTATTCTTTCCACGTGGCCAAGATTACAGATACAAAGTACCACTACACTCAGCTTACTGGTTGAGATGTATCTTTCTAGCATTTTGAACTTGCAGTTGTCCAGCTTACAAGCAGCTGTAACAGACGTCTCACCACACCTGGCATACTCAAGGGTTTCAATGAATACTTACTCATGTGAATTATGCAGTTTGATGCAACACCCACTTTCCTTTTAAGGAGTATGGGAGGAAAATTTGGTGAAAGAGAAGATGAGTATGCTGTACCTGGCTCTGATGTCAACCTGACCTGCCAGACCCAGACAAAAGCCTTTTTGGTACAGACACAGTGGTCCAAGGGCACTGATAAGGCAACCTGATTGCCCTCACTTACACCAACACAGCTTTCACTGTGCCCAGGGGAGTCCTTGAGAGTCATTGGCGGCTTCTATCAGAACACCTGGAAATGGTACAAAGTGGACTCTGCTTAAGAAATGTGTGCTCCTTATTCAATGGTAAGTATGAGTGCAGCTTTATGGTATACCCAGAATCATTTCAACTAAAATCTACAACTTTTTATGTCAGATAACTGGAAAGTGTGAGCAATGGAGGAAAGGAAACACTTGCTTTTATCCAACTGTCCTTCATTTAACAAATATGCGTTGTTCATCAATCTTGTTCTTGGTAGGCATGGGTTTAGCAGAAAGTGGTAGAAAGTAATAAAATAATTGCACATAAAAGTACAACGTGGTAATAGTGATTAGTGTTAATGATAAGAACTATCACAGTCCTGTGAAAGAGTCATGATAGAAGCACATCATTTCTCCTGAGAGAGGAACACCTGATCTGAAACCTTAGAAACAATGAATATTGACACCATTTATGAGGAGCATGGGTTGTGAGTGATTCGGAGAAGGGTGACTGGTGTGCAGAGGGCTCTGCAGAGTTTAAGGAAATAAGAAAATAGCATGGAACTCCAGGAATTAAATGGATGAAGATGGAAATGGTGAGAACGTACCAGCCACATTCAAGGCTGTAATTTTATCTAAAAGCTATAGAAGATTGAAGTTATTTCCAACAGGAGAATGACATGACATTTATCACTTGATTGTACTTGTGTTATAAAGAGATGATACTGGCTTCAGGATAAGGAAGTGTAAAAGTGAATAAGAGGAGGGAATGTAAACAAGTCAGAATAAGGAAGACTGGCATTTCAGTCCAGATTGAAAGAAAGTTAAATTACACATTTTATGGATAAGGCAAAAACAAGAACAAAGAACACAGATTTAACTGAAGCATACAGTGGACATATAAGGAAAAGACTGAAGGGGATGGTGGGTTACTGTCCTGAACAGCTATATGGCAGTGCCAGTCAATAGGATATGAAAGTATCTTAGGACATATTTAGCATAGGCCAGGGAAAGTGACTAAGGAGGCTCCTGAAAATGCCTAATGTACACCAAACCTGCTTCAGGGTCTGCTGTTTGAGGTAAAGGTCCTAGGTCTGTGCCCTACCCTCTTTCTGACTAGAAATGAATTTGACTTGGGGCCTCTCATGTACATTTTCTGAATCCATTTGGAAAAATCATAATAATACCTGTCCTAAATTACCTGGTCCCAAAGTAAATGATTTTCATTTCTGCTAATGGAAAAGAATGAAAATGAAAGTCAGCAAATGGAAAGTGCACTGGAAATTGAATGTTTTTAACTCATTGGTGTGGGTTGGAAGGGGAAGTGTGGCGAGGGGGGAATGGTCTGGTAATATGAGAAAATAACAAAAATTAATGCAGGTAAACCATGCTAAAGGAGACATGGAGTTACCTGGGACAAGTGTGGGATTTATTACTATCTCTCTTTTTCTAATTCTTAGCAGCTCTTACACTGATGTACATCTGTAACACAGGATCCCACTGTCTGCTACCTCCCAGTGCCCTGTACCCTCGTGTTTTCCCAGGAAACAAAGCAACACAAAACTTCAACTGGGGATAAGACGGATGGGAAGGGGTTGAAATAAAGAGAAGCGGATGAACTATATTGAGCAACATTCCAAGTTCTAAGTAGTTGTAACTCGGGTATCCTGAATTGGCTATGTCATTTACAGCATAATACATCATAGCCAAGTTAAGTTATGTAACGAATTCAGATGATTACAGTTGTTTCTTCCTGGGTACAATAATTGTGGTGATTAAATGAGAATAATCTGCACTAGGCACTTAATATCGTTTGGTAAATGGCAGCTTTCTTTAATATTTCTTTTTATATTGGCATAATTTAGAACTCAGTAGGATATCTGTTCTACATTAGCAAGTACATTAGCAAGTACATCTTGGCTGTCGCTTCAGTCATGAGAGTGTGTGTGCTTCTGCCTCTCCAGTAGATTGTACCACTGCAGGCCTATCAACCACATCTTAGTCCATCCAGAAATGACAACCTGACTTGCCATTGCTCTGTCTACCAAACTACCACTGTCCCTCCTCTGGCCTGCTGAAGTGTTTATACATGCTTTAGAAAAGACAACAGAGATACAAGGGCAAGGAAAATATATTTCTTAAAATAAAAGGACACATTTGTGCCTACTAAAAACCGTCCATATCTGGAGAGTCAGAGCTGAAGCTATAGTCTTCATGGCTGGGTATTTTCCAATCATATTGTAACTTCCCATGTGATGCACTGGATCGGCTGAAGAACAATGTCCAATGACAGTGTTAAAGAATTGTTCTGGTAGTGTTTCTTTGAGTGGCACAACATGGGGTGGCAGAGGGCGGGGAGGGGGAGGAAGCAAACTAGAAAGGGCTGAACATATTCACCCCAAAGCGAATGGCGAAAATGCCTATTAGAGTGCTGGAGTACTTTACTCTGAAGAGGCAGTTGCTCTCCAGAGTCCTGGCAATGCCCCACCCAATGGCATGTTATCTTTTTTTCATTTTTTCTTTTTTAGTTTTCTATTGCTGCCTCTCCTCTTGCTCTATGTCCCTCCTCTGCTCCTATGAGATATCCAGATTTACAAGCTAGTTGGGTAAGCACAGCATATACTTGAAGTGCACACACTTATGAAGTACATAAACAAATGCAAATTGAAGTGGTATATAAGAATCTAAATATGAACATGTTGAAGCACTAGAGGTAGTTGGGTTAATTACCCCTTCCTGTTTCCTTTCTCCTTTCATCTAAGTCTCTCTTGTCTGTTCAGAATAATGTGCATCTAAATCCAGTTTCATGTCCCACCAGGGTTTAGCTGAGAAGTGATTCTTTTCACACTGCCTCATCCCTGTGTGCCTCATTTAGTGTGCTGAGACCGAACTATAATAAATATTTCAGCGTTTGTTTCTGTCTCACTTTCACTTGACAGCTGAATCGTTTCTTAGGTGAGTAGTTGGGTGTTTGTTTGTTTGTTTTAATTACTCTAACACAGTATTCTGAGTTAAATTTTGGGTTACTTTAATCTGCAGTTCCTATAATTGAATGTTACTCGGTCCTAGAATACTTTGGAATGTAAGATGTTAGTGCATTTGAAAATGGGTAGTTATTAGGATATACAATATGGTTTTTAATTTCTCAAATTACAATATGCATTAGGAGTTTTTATTGGAAGCAATTGTAATAGGGGAGAGATATTTCAAGTTTGGCCTTCTATATGCTGAATTAGGAGCAAGACTGAGGCATTTAGGTAATGATAAGTAAACAACTGAAAATAAGGCACACCATCTCAAAGAGAAGCTTAAGTTGCAATATAATTTGATGAGTCATCTGAGTGTGGCTGCTGAATAGAATTCTGGGAGTAAAAGAAATTATCTGGGAAGAGAAAATGAGTGATTGTAAAGCAATATGGTACTTTGACACAGTCCGTGATGGTGAGGGGAGAAAGGTATTTTCAAAGGATAGAGAAGAGTAACTACAAAGGCAAGAGAACTCAGTCATGGCAACCTAGGAAGAGAATTGTATAAGAGCAGAAACGCTAAACACTGATGTTTCTTAGAAGATAGTGGCTATTGACTTGCATTTAGGAACATGACCACTAACCAGGACCTGGTGTGGGGAGCATGGAATAGAAAGACATCAGGCTAGAAGAGCTGACATGAATAGGAGGGAAGGAAAGGAGAACAGCTGATCTTGGTAAAGCTTCCTAGCAATGGGTCAGCAGTAACAAGAAGTGTCTGAGTGTTCACAGGAAAATTTTTGTTTGTATTGTGGTATTGGTGATTTAAATTAAAGTAGGGCACATGCTTTTGCTTTAAAGACCATGGACAGAAAACAGTTGAAAAATAAACTGTACTAAGTCTGGCATCAGTGGTTCACCCTTGTAAAATCCTTGCTACTGAGGAAGCTAAGATCTGAAAATCAAGGTTCAAAGCCAGCCCAGGCAGGAAAGATCATGAGACTCTTATCTCCAATTAATCACCAAAAAAAAATGGAGTTATGACTCAAGTGGTAGAATACTAGCCTTGAGCAGCAAAGCTTAGAGAGAATGCCCAGGCCCCAAGTTCAAGCCCTAAGAATAGCACAAAAACAAGACATACATACATACATACCAAATAAACTATATCACAGAAAAAAAATAGAACAAGATTTCTGAGAAGATGGGGTTAATGAGATCTATAACAGAAGTAGTAGGACTATACTTGATTTTTTAATCCACATTTTTATCATAAAAGAAAAAGGGAAACCAAGATAAAAAGCATGTGATAGGAAAAGTGATGTCTTACTCTTCTAATTTAAGTAGCAAAATCACTTTCAGCTAGAGGGAGGAAAGAGATTTCAGAAAATGAGATTCAAAGTTTGAAATAGCTCTTATGGATAGAGGGGAAATGAGCTCCTGGGGTAAAATATTCGCATTTTTGGTTCATGTTGAACATTCATTGGAGTTTAACTTGGAATTGTGATGTAGACATTTACGCCATGGGTCTCTCCATAGTGTTTGTTCATTACTATTCTCTTCCTTCCAACAATAATTTATTCTAATTGCTAAATGTAAATGGGCCAGTAACACATATCACTAACCTTTATGTAAATGTCTGCACAGTCTAGAACAAATTCTATTGGAAAATCCTTGGGAGCAATATTTCCCAGAGTTTTTGTAGGACTCTAAAATTTTTCTGCAACTTTCTATTTAACATATTTTAATTTTTTTCTTAGACTTAAAGTCTTTGGCCTTCATGTTCTTTCTGTGAATATAGTAAATGTACTTATTAACTTTTAGTGACATGATTTTCTGACCTGAAATTGCTATGAGAAAGTGAACAGCTATCTGATTTGCTTTTTTGACTTGATTTTATTTAATATTTTCATTGGAATGTATATAATGTTGTCCATTCTGGGTCTTTTTTTGTTGCCTTTTTAGCATCATATTTTCATATGCATTTTCTAATTTTTTTGTTTTAAGAAACTTCTCTGGAATTATTGTTTTCTGTTCTATGTTTTTATGTTTTTCTTCAGTGCCTTTTGTTCTACATATTATTTTCTTATCTTTTCATCTCATTTTCCTTTAGTATCTCTTATATCTTACTTATTAATTTCTTTAAACATTTTTCTCGGTGCATTTTTAAACATTTATTTTAATGCATTCAGATTTGTGCTGGTTTTCTGGGGTTTTTTTAACTTTTATTTTCACTTGAGGAGTGATTTTTGTTCCCTAAATTCTGTCACCTATCTTTCACACACTTTATTTCCTCCCAATAGATTTTTTAAATCCATTTTTTGCACAGATCATATCTATTTTTCTCTTTGAATAAGTTGGCTCTATTTTTTGTTTAGTGGATACATGTTGCTAACATGTTCTGTTTGTTGTAGGGATGTCATTTTGTTCTCTAGACTATTTCTTCTCGTGGTAACTTTCTGGTGAATCTACTACATTCCTTTTCTATTGCTTAGGCTTAAGTCAAAGCATCATTATTCTTACCTGTGAAAGGATGGGAGAGCCTGGCTTTTCTTCAGTCTTTAGTGTATCTAGAGCCCCCTCTTCTGTTTCTTTCTAGATAAACACTCTGCCATTGGCCTTTCTGAGTGTACTTCCTTTCGCCTTTGTCCCCCACTCTGATCTAAGTGGCATCTTTGACTTCTATTAGACTTGTCACATTTAACTTGAATTTGATCCTAGGGATTTGTCCTTTGCTTAGGCGATATCCTGACATGCTCCTTCTGCTCTAGAACTGAGTCCTTTTCCTATTTCCTGTTGAAGACCAGTGATTTCATACTTGCCAGCCTCCCTTTTCCACTTCCACTGCTGCTCTCAGATGAGTCTGACTGTCTTTCCAATGGTTACTTGCCACTGGCAACCTGGCTGATTCTACAGTCCAAAGGCACAGTTTGCAATAACACAGTAGTCTATAGGTTTTGTGACCCTCTATTAATTCAGGAATATTGTTATTAAGTGTTCTTGCAAATATAGTTTATGTGGTTTGGGTTTAGTCTTTCCTGTTTGTATACGGGATTTAAGATTAATCTAGTAAGTTACACCACATGTACCATCAGTGACCAAGAACGTAAAACACTTCAAAAATGTAATAGTACACATGTATTTGGAAAATGTGCATTAAAATATAATTCATATATTGAAAGTATTTTATGAGCTTCCTAGATATTAGTTTCTAGATCAATTCTGATTTAAGTAAAATAAATACCGTAGTTTTAAGAATAAAATTAAGTAGTAGTACTGGCATGAAATATGATTTTAAAATAGTGATGGTATTATACAAATAATTCAATTTGAAAATACTATAGTAGTTCAATTCTTTAAATAATAAGGAACAGGTATCATTTTTTTTAAATTATAGGGTCAGAGTAATATATTCAGTCTTCCTCCATAAGATAGTTGTACCAGCTGTTGTATCCATAGATATAACAACAGATCAAGAATATTTGAGAATAAATTGTATCTGTACTAAACATATAAATGATTCTTTAATTACCACAAAGAAGTAACTATGTGGCATTTATGTTACATTAGATGTTATAAGTAATCTAGAGATCATTGAAAACATATCAGTATGATATGGTCAGATCACACACAGGTGTGCCTCTTTACCTTAGGGACTTCAGCATCCATAGATTTTTTTGGGTACTTACCACAGATCCGGAAACCAGCTCCCTGCAAATACAAGGGATGATTGCATTTGAAAGAGCCACAGAGAGCAAGGAAGACATGATCCTACCTTCTGAGCTTGATTGATAAACATAACAATAATTTTTTTTAAAAAAAACACTATTTGAGGATTCTATAAGAAAAGATGCTATGAAGACTCAGTTTTAATTAAGGAAAGGAGAAGGAAAGAGTCCTTATAAAGAGGATAGCCAACACTGGTGGCAGATGAAGCATAACAAATAGCTAGAGGCTAGAGATAGCAGTCCTTAACTAGTAAATATTCCATTAAAAAATGTACTATTGGTAGCATTGAAAATGGTCACAGCCAATTACCAATCAGCTATACTTCTAGAAATTTATTTTGGTATCCAAATGGTCAATAAAATAAAACTAAGACTGAAGAACATAATGATTCAGTAACCAAACAATGCTGAATATATATGATGAAATAATAGAGAATATTTAAAATTTTCAACCACAGATAGTTTAAGAACATTGTAATGCCAAACATTTTTTAAGAAGAATTTATATAACATTAGTCAAAATCAGGATTGTAAGGTTTGAAGAAGCATATGTATATACTAAGTAGGCTGCATAGACCTCTTTAAATATATTTTAGGTTATTAGGATTACTTAGTTGTTTCTATTTATTAACTATTGTGATATTTCCATTAGTCACAAATATGTGTGTATGTATGTATGTACATGTATGTATATGCATATAAATTTACCAATTGGAAAAATTATATTTATTTGTTTTATCATATCTTTAAAATGACAGTGATTTATAACTTAGAGTTTCCTTATATATTTTTCTGTTTCATTCCTCTGTTGAAGGACTGTTTATAAGCTCGAAAGAGATCATCACATATGAAGGCAGTAAAAGAAAATGCATTTACCAGGGAATAGGGAAGATTGAATGAGATAGCACAGAGGATGTATAGAGCAGTAAAACTGTGCTGTATGAAACTGTAGTTGTGGATATATATTTGGCTCTATACATTTGTCAGATGTACATTAACAGAGGTCCCCAGCGGGAACTATGGTTTTATAGTAATGATGTGTCATTGTGGGTTTATGAATTGAAACAAGGGCATTACTGAGGCATGAGGTGGTGATAGGATGGAGGATACATGTATATAGAAGTAGGCATGTGTGTACATTGGGGACTTTCTGTATTTTGTGCTTATTTTTGTTGTGAGCCTAACACTGCTCTAAAAAAAAAATAACAATCTATTGAAATTATTTAAGCCAGGTTATAAGATTTTATAGTCTACCTAATTTTTAAAAAATATAACCAGAAGATCAGTGTGCCAGTTTGGAGCTAGAGGAGAATATGTTAAACCATGAGATGGACTCTTAGACAAGCCACTCTCTGATCTGTTCATGGCTCCATTTTGCTGTGTAAGGCACGAAGACTACAGTGGTGTTCAGCCCCTTTACTTCAGAGGCACACTCCGAGGATGGATGAATCTCCCTACTGAAGCTGCTTTTTGTCTCTTCAACAAAAGACACTTCATATGCCACTCAAAGGTCTGAATGTTTCCGCCTTTTGTTTTGTTACAGTTACGCAAGAGGACTGGAGATGCAGCCATACAATAGAAATCAAGATTAATCGGCATGGAAATACCATGCTTTCAAAATAGCTCCTCAGAAATCACCTCTGAGATCACCCTTGCATGGTTGGTGGTAAGTGTTGCCCTTTTCAGTGAATAACTGCAATGATCTTTAAATATTAATGAGGTGAAATGAATAGCAAGTAATAATAGAGAAATACTGGATGGGAAGTTGGCATTATGCCAGTGTTTGAGGGAGGGTTAGGAAAGGGAGGAGAGGATGTAAAGGGTTCTTCTAACTAGGCAAGGCTGCAGACTCTGAATGCAACGGATTATTTTAGAAATGAGTTGTGAAAGGTTAATTTCTATTTCAAACTACATACCGAACCATGACTGCAGAGAGAAGAGTGTAGGATGGTGTGCTGGAGAGAAGCTATGTCCAGCTGAAGCTCCTGATCACAAGTATTTGTCTTAAAATCCACATAGAGATGTAACCCCCCTTTTCCCAGAGCCGTCTTAGTATACAGTCATTGCAATATACATTAATATACACTATCACTTCAGATCAGGAAATGCAAATGCCAAGTCTTATAAAATCTAAGTAGAAAGTGTCCATGAGAAAAAAAGCCCTGTGGAAGAAACATTCCCTTTTCCTGCTATATTAATGCCATAAGGGCTTTAGACACAGGGTTCCTGGGCCTTCTAATTAAGAAAAAGAAAAGCCAGAAATCTAGATCATTTTAAGAACGTTTACAGTTTTAGAGAAAAAATAACTATTGATATTTTATTTTTATAGAATGTTTTACCAGGCCATGCTAACATTTTAAATACCCATTAAAAGTTTTCAGTCAGTGATCACTTTGATAAAATGATGGCTATTTACTACCTTGTCTCCCACGCCCTGTGTGATAACTAAACTCACCCACTACTTTTCTTTACTTGAGATATTGAAAATTTTATCCATACAGATTTCTGTTTATACATATCACAGTTTAATTTGACCTATTCCTTTATAATGTATTATATATATATTATCTGCACTGTTATTTTATCATTAGCCTGCAACATTATCCTGTCATATTTTGTCTTTTTCAAATCTAATTGTGAAATAAAATCCCAGTGATTTAATAATAGATCTTTCTAGTGGTAATTAACAGTTTTGTCTCATAACAAACTCAACAGGAGTGTGATAATAAATGTGAAAGAATAATGTCATATTAACTGTATTGTAAGCCAATAAAAGGGCAGGCAGCTGTCAACCAATACACACACTAAACCTCTAAAGCTGTTAAATCAACTGACAGGAGAATAATACAATTATAAAGATACCCAAAACACATTTTTCAGCAATCATATAACAAGGCAGTAATTTAAATGATCCAGAAAATTGTTCTATCATATTATTTTTTTGATTGATATCAAAATGGACACACAATATTTAGGAATTCTTACAAAACATATACACTTCATGAAGCGGCAGCGGCACTGCTTGGAAAACACTGTGCTTTGTGATTGGTTATTCTCCTTACAAGTTACCTTGTTCTTTTGTGGACACTAAACACTACCTATAAAAAAACAAACGAATAAACAAACAATTCTGTGACCGGGTGGCTGGAGTCAAGATGGAGGAGTATGCCTGAGAGCCTTGCTTTGGAGAATTGTGGATGCCTGCGATGGGATCTTCACACAGGTATCATAGGTGGGCAGCATCATCCAAGCCATCAACGCTTTTCTCATTCTCCCATGGGTGTGAATCACAGATGATGAGGGAGTTTGATGGCTGTTAAAACCCCAGCTCCCCAGTTGGGAGGTAGCTTTGCTATTGGGGATGGTCTGTTCTCCATGACTGACTGTAGGATGGTTCAAGTCAGAGGAAAAGAAGATTCCCTGGGACTCCATCACAGGAGCCATCCTGGCAGCCAGAAATGGACAGGCGGCCATGGTTAGGTCAGCAGCCATGGGAAGCGTTCTCCTAGCTTGAATCGAAGGAGCTGGCATCTTGACAAGGTTTGCCTCTGCAGTTTCCCAATGCCCTCAGTTTGCTGAAGACCCCTCCCACTTGCCTGCAAGCCAGTTACCTCCTCACTTTTTGGAGACGATCAACAATAGCAATTGATTTCCACCAGAGGAATAGATTTTCTTTCCCAGGATTTCTTTAACTGAAGTTCAAAAAGGGTTTCAGATCAAGTTACACACGATCTGTTTTTACAACTCTGGGTGAGTCAACTGTGGCCAAATAGGCCATGAAGAGACAGTTAGCACTTTTTTCTATTTAAAGGAACATGGAAGGAAGATAAATAATGCTGCATTTATTTATACATGTGTGGATTGCATTGTCATCAGAATGAATGTCTACTATCACAAAAAAAAGTGCCTAGAAGATGAAGGACCAAAGGGCAAATACCAGTGATCATAAAATCTTTGGGGACTTCTCCACTTGGCTATCTGTGTGCAGTTGATAAAACAATAAAAAGCTTTTGGAGTTTACTCTTTTTAAGTTGTAGAAGTCTTCTTTTCATACTAAGTATACTACAGATAATGCATGCTTTCTACTAGCCCCTTAACGTGAATGATGTATGGGGAGAAATATGTAGGGTCAGCACAATCATTTCACAGTAAAATGTTTCATAGATTGAAGGACATTGCAAAATACATACCTACTTTGGACATAGCTGTGCTATGTTTAGGTTTTGAGCATGCTGGATACAAATTCTTAACCTTTAGGGCTACTGTATCTTGATCCTGCTCATCAGAAACCTCACCATAAGCAACTTGTTTTCAATATAATGAATTCTATATGAGAAGATTTTTTTGAAAGAAAATGTTCACTATTGATAATGCTTGAAGTAAAGTAAAGGCTGGGCATGGTGGTGCGTGCCTGCAATCCTAACACTCAGGAGGCAAAAGTAGGATCTAACTTTGAAGCCAGCCTTGGTTGTCCTATTTCAAAACCTCAAAAAGAAATAAAATAAAATTAGAAAGAAAAGAAAATGTACGTTATGTTTAATGTGTTTCAAGTTCTCTGAAGCTGACCTTCGTAAGGAATATGTTGTCTACTTGGGTCTGGAAGTTGCAAATGGATTTAGTGGCCAGCTGTGTTCCTGGTTGTATTGGTGTGAGAAGTCAAGATGTTCGTGACTCAATGCCAGTCTCTAGCAATGCCTGCATGAAGCGGAAAACAAATCCATGTGGGTCCCTGTGAACACTAACTTAATACTGACTGCAATCATTGGGATGCTTTAAATGTTAAGATATACATAACGTTTGTAAATACAGTGACATTTAAATATGAGTACAGTGTTGATCAGTATTATGTGTACTCAGAACACTGCTATCACCACTGAAATTAACTCTGTGCCCATGAGACAGAAACTTCCCATTCTCCCTTGATAACTACAGTCCTGCTTTCTGTCTTATTTTCTTCTATGCTAGATATCTCAGATAACTAAGTGGAACCCTAAAATTTAAAAGATAACAATTCTATGGATGTGTCCTATCCAAATGAATAGACTTAGGTTGAAGACTTCAGAGTAAAACCTGCCAATAATTTTTCACTGTCTAGACATTTCTGAATAGTCAGTAACATGGAAATAAAAATATATCCTAAAATAACTGCCCATGCTGCTCTAAAATGTACAGTGTTTCTTTGTCATCTGTCACAAACCAAATTTTTGACTTTACAGAATCTGGCTTCCAATATTCAAAGCTTCCCATGCATTATGCCTGGCATCAATGTAAGTCAACTGTTCTTGATAAATGTGACATCTTGCAGTTGTTAGAAAAAGGTGAAGAGTAGAGACAACCTTATAGTGGTAGGAAACCTGCTCTACTACCTGTGACAGGAGTGGAAATGCAGCATTTGTACTTATTCATATTTTCCTACAATAAGACAGATAAAAAGTTCTTATTCTAATTATCCAAAGTCTCCTATAAATAACATTGATTTAACAAACGTATACTCTAGTGAGTTTCTTTGCTGGCACTAAGTTGTTTTTTAGTATTCATAACTTACCGTTGAGTGTGTCACTTGTTTTTCTAAGCCAATGGAAAGCATTCTGTCAGTAATCTGAGCTTGTCCATGGCAAAGCATGTATGCCTCTCTTTTTTTTTTGTATGCCTCTCTTAAAAATGATTCCTAGCAATTCAGTCTGGTTCCCAGAACTATAGGCATTCAACAAATAACTTTAAAATGAACTTTAACTGATTTGTTTTTATCTGCCCTCATTTGCCACAGATACATTCATTGTCCTCATATTAAATTAATGACAGTTAAATTCATGCTGTTTGATTGGCCATGAGTGGCAGCTCATTAAGTGTCAAAGACTGCATCACTGATAAGAAATCCTTTATTTAATAGTGGCCTTCAACGAAACTAGGAAGCTGATATGGGCATTATCTTTGAATCCCATAGGATTCAAGAAGGTGAATCCTCAACTTCTTCCACAACCTCAAGTCATGCTGTCACCATGAAGATGGTGTCATGACATGCTACAACTACAAAGAGAACAGTGTTGGCAAATGTGCTGATTAAATTCCTGTTGAACATGCTGTTTCAAAATGTGACCATTTGGGTGCTCCTCTGATGTACATGTGCATACTCCAATTGTTGATGGTTATGGAATTTAGCAAATCTGATATGTCAACATCTAATAGCTTCATATTAAGAAATCAACTGATGTCATAATCATTATATGTCTTCTTAGGATGGACATGAACTCCCTAGTAAATATTTCAGAGCTTTAATTTCTGACTCACCTAACAATAATAATCATAACAATGCGACAGTGATCCTAACAATGGCTTTGAGTAAAAAGCTGAGAAGTAGAGGCGATGAATCTGACTCAGGAGGGCAGAGACCCTGCTATTCTGAACTCTGTAACAACAGAGGCCTCCTGTCCCCAGTGCTTTGTTAAACTCTTGGAACAATTTTACACAGGGAAATTATCTAAGTCATCAGAAAGCAATTCATGTTTTCATCAATGTAAAATTTTATAAAACCTAATCAACTTTCGTGGGAAAGGCTATTTTTAGGATTTTCAATAGCATCAGGGACCCTACTTGTGTGAGATCACCTTACATACAGATCTTTTGCACTGGAGAAGTTGTATCTCAGAATTGTGATGACACCAATACAGACAGGCATTGGTGCAAACAGATGGTGCACATACCACTGAATTGTCATGAAAGATTCCAATGCTCCAGGTAAACACAACAGGTCAACCTGTCAATGGAAACTGAGCATCTATGGGAATGGGAGAGTGCTAGATAAGAAATTATATTATGTGAATGTGTAGGTGAGATGCTGGTTGGACAAGTGCTATCTTGCCCATTTTATGTCCTAAGACACAAATAGTCATCATGGAAATTCTTCAGGCTTATTCTGGGAGCTCCTAAACACACTTTAATGCCCTGTTTTTATTCCAAACTATCCTCCTGATTTCCCACAATATAAATTTTAGTTCTATCCAGTAAGCAGATGTGAATATGTTCTAAGTGTTAGGTCCAATAAGGATAGAAAATTATATTGGACCCATGACATACACGTTTTGCTTTTTTTAAAATAGCAGCATAAAGGAAAAATAACTGATTCTGACTATGTGGACCTGAGAAAATTTCTATAGAGATTATATTTAAACTGTAAAATTTAACAATAGCTGAGTTGCAAAAAGTAAAACAGATATATACTGAACTCATGTATACAAGTGTGTAGTATACATGAGGGAAGGAGGGAAGGGCACAAACCTAGCTTAATGGCACACTCCTATGATCCTCACTACTCTAGAAGTGAAAGTAGAAGGGTTGCAGGTTCCAGACCAGCTTGGATAAAGTTAATGATACTTAGCCAGGTGCCAGTGGCTCATGCTTATAATCCTAGCTACTCAGGAGGCTGAGATCTGAGGATCACGGTTCAAAGCCAGTCCAGAAAGAAAAGCCCATGAGACTCTCATCTCCAATTAACCACCAGAAAACTAGAAGTGATGCTGTGGCTCAAGTGGTAGAGAGCTTGCCTTGAACTGAAGAGCTTAGGGACAGCGCCCCGGCCCAGAGTTCAAACACCATGAATGACAAAAAGAAAAGAGCTAATGATATTCTGTCTCAAACATACATACATGCATACATACATACTTATGTTACATACATACCGAAGAGCTGTGACTGTGGTTCAAATACTAGAGTTCTTTCCTCAAATGCAGGAGGGCCTGGGCTGGACTCTAGTACAGAAAAAATAAAGGGAGACATAATGTTTCGATTAAATCATGAAGCAAAGAACAGAAATATTTGAATTTGGTTCAATATTAGTGGTAGAGGCACACAGTTCAATCCTAGTCTCTCACATAGCTTTCATTTTTTTTGTCTGAAGTGTATCTTTTCATTATGGTCTGGATGACTAAAACAGAATGCTTAAGTCTGGGTGATTTATGATGAACCAAAATGGATCGTTTCACGATTCTGAAAGATAAGGAGCTCAAAATTAAGGTGCTACAATTTAGGGACTGGTCTCCTTGTTTCCAAGGTGGCTTCTTGAATGCTTTGTCATACTAATAGCAGGAGTGTGTGTCCTCACATGGCAAAAGTAGCAGAGAGAAAGCCACTACCACAGTTCTCCTATCTTCCCCCCACATACACACTTCTCTGTTTTGCGCTGGGCAAGCAGCCCCACACATGCAGGATCTTGCTCTGAGCCCATTTATAACTGCGGACACTGCTTTGTCTCAGGACCTTCTTTAGGTGTGAGTTTGGGGACACTTGGCTGCTGAATTCCAATGAAGGCTCAAACCCTTTTCCTGTCACAGCAACGTGAACAACTGTTGAAGAAGTTGGGTTTTGTTCATTTGATCTGTTGGTTGCATCTTTACCACTGAAATTCCTGGGGGCCAATCACACTCTGGCACATAATAAAGACAAAAGCAATTTCTTTAATAGTTTCCAGATTGTGACAACTGTGCCCTTCACTGCACAGCAAAGTGACAGACATGAATGTTCTAAATGGCAAGTCATCTACCAAATAATGAAGGAAATTTTCCATTCCAAGATTTTTACAAAAATAGTCTCCTGTATAAGCAAGAGGCTGTAAAGTATGTCTTGTGTTAAGGGGCCTGCAGAGGGAGTCTAGCTCCTTAATTACTGGTCTCCAAGTTACATGCTGAGGGAAATGCTCTCCACGTTCTTTGCTGGCACTAAACAACTTACACTTCCTTTGGGCCCTGTTTCTGGAGTATACTCTTTAATCTTCTAGTTTTCTTCATTAGGACAGCAATATCAGGCCCTAAAACCTACTTTACAAAGCTACAAAAGTATGTACCATTTAGCAGGGTATAATAAATTGCAGGAAATACAACAATAATCCATGTACATAAGACTGATTTAAAAAATCCTAACCAGATTCAGCTAAAGAACTGTGAGTTACATTATTTCTACTAAGCATGTCCTGGAACTCTCAGTATAATTAAACTAAGAAGTCTTCCTATACTTGAATTTACATGGCTTCCATTTCTTCTACTCTGAACATATCATTTTTTAAAAACTTTTTTATTGTTATTGTAGAGGTGATATACAGAGAGGTTACAGTTACATTTTTCAGGTATTGAGTACAATTCTTTTTGAACCATATATTCCCCTTCCCTGGAGATGTTGACTATTTCTTCATGTGTCTATTGGCCATTCTTACTTCTTCCTCTGAGAAGTCTCTCTTTTACCCATTTACTGATTGGTTTGTTGAGGTTCTGAAGATTTATTTGGGGGGTAATTTTTTGAACTCTATATTTTAGATATGAGGCCATTGTCTGATGTATAGCTGGTAAAAATCTTCTCCCATTCTGTGGGCTTTCTAGCTAGCTATATCTTGCTAGCTATATCCTTTGCTGTGCAGAAGCTTTTCAGTATGATGCAATCCCATTTATCTAGTCTTTCTTTGATTTATTGTGATTCTGGATCTTTACTTAGGAAGTTTTTCCCTGTGCCTAGAAGGCCTAGAGTTTTCCTTATCCTTTCCTGTAATATTTTCATGGTACCTGGTCTTACATTGAGGTCTTCAATCCACTTAGAATTGTGAATCTATCATTTTAGTTATACTTTTTGTCTTTTTTTTTCAGTAGTGGGGATCAAACTCAGGACTTCACACTTGCTAGGCAAGCATTTTGCAGTAATCTACATCCCAGCCCTAGCTCCTTTTTTTAAATTACAAATCCCAATTTCTCTATTTTGTAGCTCTAGCCACATCAAATGCATTTCCTTTTACCCTTCTCCATGTTAGTTCCTTCTGTTTTCTAGTGCTCAATGATTCATCTGTTGTCTAGAATGAGGCCACTTGGTCCCAGCCTTCACTTATACCTGAGGACTTTCATAAAAATGCCCCAGCCAAGGCTTGAGCTCAGACACATTGAGGAGCTTCTTGTGTATCAGGCAGTTTCAAAGCAATTCAGTTGAGAATATTGAGTTATATTAATAGTATATAGGATACAACCAGTCCTTTACCCTTGGTCTCTCACAATCTTTTCACTGAGAAGCTTGTCAGTGCATATACTAAGACTGATCATCACTGTGGCCCACAAAGAGCTTATTTAAGTAAATGCTGAATAAAGTGAGAATATGAGGTCTTTTCATAGATCCACCACTGGTAGCTCAACAAGTGCCCCAAATAAATTCTGTTCTGCAAAATTCAGATTAGCAATTACAGCCCAAGGGTCTACTTTGAAAGGTGCTGAAGGCTTCGGGGAGAGGACCATCATTAAGATGGGGGGAAAAGAGATCAGGAAAACATAAAGAATAAGATTTAAGGAGGTGTCCATTCACAGGTGCCAAGGTTTCACTTGTAAACCCCAGAGAAGGCATGCCTGCCTCCTTAAATCCTGTGTCCGAGGAATCTCTTTTTTTTCCCTATTCTTCTGTGAGGAGTCTAATTAGACCTTTTCTAAGGGACTCCTGAAAAGAGACTATGGTTGTGATCCTCTACTCCACATGCAGAATTAGTGAGCAAAACTCATAATCTCCTCAGCACATTTTACTTAGCAGTAACATTTTTGGACTTCCTAAATCAAAATTGGGATTTGCTATTAGCTCTCCCTTTCTGCTTCCCAAACTTCAAACCAGATATGTAGCCTAAAAAGGGTTTTGACATGAAGATCTGGTGAGAAAAATAAGCTTTCTATGTGGGTTCAGAGAGGCTAAAAGTGATTTTTAATTAAAAATCAAATATAATGGTTCTTTCTCTAATAACATCTAATAAAATCTCTAGAGATTTTTCTCTAAGAAAAATCTCTAAATTTTGATTCTTCATTCTTTCTTGTTGTTTTACAAGAAATACATCAAGCAATGCTTGTGAAACTCCCTGTGCAGAACTGGTGTTCAATAATTGGCAATTATTTTCCTCACCAGGAGGATGAGATAACCCAGGAAGATCTAATCACCTAAAATCATCATATCAACAACTCTCTGTCATTTAAAGAAAGAATTTGGCTAGTTGTCATGGTGGATTCCATCTCTTCTCCAGTCCAAATCCATGATGATAGCAAGACATTCTCTTGCTGTTTTACAGTCAGGCCAGACACAATCTTGAGTAGCTCTACCACAGTCAAAGTTTTTGAGAAGAGTTTTGCTGTCTTAACCCACTGGCTGTCCTCCCTTCAAGGTCTCCTGCCTTAGTCTTCAGTAAGACAAAGTCTACTTTTATGCCAGAGAGCACCTACTTAAGCATAGCTATCCTGGAGTCCCTTGGTCCTACTCACTCTTGTTGAGAGAGAGAACAAGGTAGAAGACCAAGTATCAATTACCCAACCGATAAAATTAAACCCTACAGACAGCTGTAAATAGGTCAATTGCCTGGTGCCCATGATCTTGTTTACAGTTTTAATGCTTCCTAAGGATACTGGAAATCTCTTTAATTATAACTGTCAAAGTCTAATTGCTTGGCTGTCTAATTATCTTAGTGGCTTGCTAGTGTTAGGTGTAAGAAGGACACTGTGAGAAAGAAACAGGTGATAAACACAGCCCCAGAGAAATTCTGCAGGAATCTCCCTACCACAAACATCCCTGATCCTGCCAGGGCCAGCTAGGGTGAGAAACTGCCTGGCCCCTCCAGCCAAGGAGCCTAAGGGATGCCTTTCACCTGGTTCTCAAGAGATTGAAGCTGAGCTGTGAACTCCACAGTAGCCTCTTTCATAACACAAAGACTCTTCAGGGGGGCAATTTTAAGAGAAAAAAATGTGAACACTCTGTTTAGTCCTATGGAGAAAATAAATATTAATAAGTACAACGACTTGCTTTGGGATTGTTTTTTTTTCATTTGTGAAAGTATAAACAGCGGCTATTTAAAGGCCATTTTTTAAGGCAAAGATAAAACCAATGACGCAGATGAGAAATTAGCTGTTTACAAGAATGAGGCAAACAACTATGTTTATAACAGCATTATTCACCATAACTAAGATATGGAACAAACCCAGATGCCCCTCAGTAGACAAATAGATCAAGAAAATGTGATATTAAATATATATATAAATATATGAATTCTATGTCTCCATCAGAAAGAATGACATCGCCCCATTTATTAGGAAATGGAAAGACTTAGAAAAAAAAATCATATTAAGTGAAGTATGCCAGACCCAAAGAAATATAGGTCCTATGGTTACCATTATTTGCAATAATTATTATACATCTAGGATAATCTTGTCAGACAAGCAGAAAAGCTCAAAAGCTATGTACATATGACCATGTAAGATGATGCTAAATGAAATGAACCCCAAGATATGGACACAAGAGGTTTTTCTTTGTTGTTGTTGTTTTAAATGTACTATGTGATTTTGTTTTGTTTCTTTTGTATGTTCTTCCCCCTATGGTATAACCCTGTTGTCACCATATTTGGTTTTGCTACCCTGTATCTTGTATATACATTTCTCTAATTCAGGGAGGGGAATAACAAAATGCTGAAACAAGGACACAGGATGATCCATTACAACAATCATACTCACAATATACTATGTTGGAAATGAACTTTGGGGGTGGGGGATGGATAGTAGGAGAAAAACAAAAGAGGAGGTAAGAATGTTTGACAAAAAATGTACTCATTACCTTATTCATGTAAGTGTAACCCCTCCCCCCGTACAGCATCTTTACAATAAAATAATTTTTTAAAAACAAGAATGAGGCAAAGAGAAAATTACTTCTTAAAATTTAAGAACATGGTAGCAGGCACCAGTGGTTCACACTGTAATTCTAGGTACTTAGGATCACGGTTTCCAGCCTAGGCAGGAAAGCCTATGAGACTGTTGTCTCCAATTAACTACCAAAAAAGCCAAAAGTAGAGCTGTTGTACAAGTGGTAGAGTACTAACTTTGAGCACAAAAGCTTAGGGACAGCACCCAAGCCCCGAGTTCAAGCCCCAAGCCTGCAAGAAATAAAAATAAAAACCCCTAAGAAGATGGCCTGCTGGATTGTATATACCTATTCTAATAGAACAAGCAAAACAAATCCTGTTTTACTCATTTTATTATTGTATTATTGCTGAAGACCATAAACCCAGTGTTTGTGAAGATGGCTGTACTTTATTTAACTTGTAGTTTTATGCTTACAGCTTTCTTCTCCTATTCTGCCTTATCTTTCCTTTTCTCTCTCTCAGGTGTGTGGCATGTGGGGGAGAGGGAGTTAGGTTCTGTCTGTAACCTACTACAGAATAGTTGGGAGTGAATTGCCACTTATATCCTTGAACAAATGGAGCTCAACCTTATTTAGCACCACTCCCTCAGTACCGAGTTATGGCTGTCTTAGCACAATCATGAAACTGTCTCATCTGGCTCCACCTTTCAAACCAATCCAAGACATGGAAAGAAACTGCCCATTTTAACTTAGGCAAGCCATGTCCTCATTGGACCATGATTTTTTGGTGCCATACCATGATCAATTGCCTCATCAACATGTAAGCCATGATTGTATCTCTTTGTCTCATTAGAGTCTTTCATGTTGGTCCTTAATGTTTTTCATTCCTTTACCTTTCTCTCTTCTCATTATACCTGATTCTGCATCTGTCTATCTACATTTTACTTGTTTCTTCTTTGAAATCGTTCTAGTAGATGCTTAGAAATATAAGACTTCACCTGCCTAGTATATCCCTAGGATTTTCTCTGCATAACAGCTTTCTCATTTATTAAATAGGCTGAGTAGGTTGTGTTTGAACAGAGTTTCACCCAGCCATTGACCTTTTTGAAATATATATGACTTTATTGTTGCTATTTAGATATTGTACAGAGTGATGACCATTTAATAAGTCAGGTAATGAGTACATTTCTTGGACAATGTCACCCCTTCCTTTGCTTTCCCCCAGTTTCCCCCTCCCATCCCTGCCTAAAAGATACTCAGGTCTTTCTCCACATAGTGTATACTGAGTAGCATAATTGCATTTGCTCTCCCTTTTCCCCTCCCTTTCTGTACTCCTTCGTTATACTCCTTAAAAGAGAAAAAAGCAAAAATAAACACTACCACCACCAACAGCAGCAGTAACATACAAAAAAAGTTTCCATTTCCTGGAATTAGTTTTGATAAATATTCTGTTCAGAGGAGTTGCACCTTGGGGTTCCTCCCTAAAGGTATCTTTCTGTAGTCTGTGTGTGGATACCTAGAGTCCTGGATAGATTATCATGTCTGATGATATTTTAGGCCTAGCATCCTCATATGAGAGAAAACATGCACTGTTTGTCTCTCTGAGCTTGGCTTATCTCACTTACTATGATTTGTTTTGGTCCATCCATTTCCCTGCAAATGACATAATCTTATTCTTTCTAAATGGCTGTGTAAAATTTCTTTGTGTATAAGTACTGTACCAAATTTTATTGACCCACTCATCAATTGTAGGATATGACCTTATTTGACTACTGTGAATAGTGCAGCAATGAACATAGATGTGCAAGTGTTTTGGCCATATCCTAACTTGTAACGATCTGGGCAGATTCCCATAGGAAAGTTCTATGCTTAGTTATTTTTAAAGAACCTCCAAACTGCCTTCCAGAGTGATGGTACTCATTTACATTCCCACCAGCAGAGTAGTTAGGATTCCTTTTTTTCCCACATCCCTCCAGCATTTTTTGTTCTTTGAATTCTTGAGGTTGGCCAATTTAACTGGACTGAGATGGAATCTCAACATTGTTTTGATTTAGCAGCCATGGACCTTTTATGGGCACCGCCTGTATATCTTCTAGTGACACAAGCACAGGCATATAATACAAATCTTTTAAGAACCTACTTTATAGCTAGAGGTGGTGATTTGTACCTAGTACTTAGAAGACTGAAGCAGAAGGATTGTGAGTTCCAGGCCAGGCTGGGCTTTATAACAAGAATCTCTTCCTGTTAAAAAAAACAAAAACAAACCAACAAACAAAACCTTACTTTTATCCTTCCATTGGTGAATCCCCATAATACATAAGTCAGAAACAAAAAAACAGCCTTGAGATGAATACCCAGATGTTCTATCCACCTATGGCTAGCTACTCATTCTTCCTACACCTTACAACATTGCCCGACTTGTCCTTTGCAGCTCATTAGGGACCAGGAAACACCCAGCTCCACTATTTCCAGCATGGCCCTTACATTGCTGCTGTGAATTTACTTTTCTTGGCACAAGGTCACATTTGTTAGTTTATTCTCTTCTACTCCTAAGCTATAAATTTGATTGTCCTCAGGCTCAGAAACACTCTGTCTCTCTTCATGACCCTTTCAACTTTTAATAATTGTTCTGTCTTTCAAGTCCTTCATTCTACTTTTATTTGTCTGCTGTAGTCGATTTCTTAAATGCCTTTTCTTCCATTAGCAGTTTAAGGTTGTATCTGTTTTTGTTTCCTCTTTAGAAAAGCATGGAGATAAGAATTTGAGTTAAGTATGTCCCTCCCCCATGGGAGGGGAAGGGAAAAAACAAAATGTTTAAATAGAGATAAGATTGACCCATAGCAGCAATGAGCTGTACAAAACCTCTATGTTGAAAAATGAACTTTACAATTTAGGTGGGGAGGGGGGGTGTAGTTGAGGAGTTGGGAAGGACGGCATGGTAGGGGAAAAACAAAGGAGGAGGCAACAATTCTGGATAGGAAATGTACTCATTACCTTGCTCATGTGACTGTAACCCCTCTGTACAGTATTTTCACAATAAAAAACATTTAAAAAGAAGAATTTGAGTTAAATTAATTTATCTTGGAAAACAGAAGAATAGCACTGAAAAGGGAAGTGTAGAAAGAGTTAGATGATGACGCCACTGTTACCCTGTGGGCTTAGATTCATTTTACTGGGAACTCCAGGAAATGGCATAAATCACACAGTTATCTCAAATGAAAGTCAAGAAAGCTAGGTTATTAACCTATTTCCCAACCATTGTCACCACTATTTCCTTCCAGTTTTCCCTTCTGGGCTACTACGTTTGCTCCCACAATCCCAGTAAATACTTCCACAGCAAGCCTTAGGCAGAAATAAGCAGCAGGAAGATGTAGCAGTCAGCAGCAGCACTGGGACAGGTGGGGCACCAGTTCTTCCCACCAGTGCATATGGGCTTCTGTCTGCTATGCTAAGAACTTGGAATTACTTCAGTTTAGCATGATACACTGCACTGGGTATTAAATGCTGACAATAAAGAGATGGATAAAATAGGCATTTGTGATCTAGTGGGACAACAAAATCATTGAGGTATCACCAGATATTTTCCAATATTAAGCAACTGAACAGATACCATGTGTGTTTCTGGCACACTTTGTACCCATAGTTGCCCTCCTGCCACATCGCACATACCCAGCCTCTAGAGGGTGTAAGAGCTTTTCTTACAAACTCTTCAAATCCTATATGTTCTCAATCATGGCACTTCAGTCAGTGCAATATATCTCCTAGTTTACCTATCTGTATTTTCATTAAAAAGTATATTTTCTAAGGAGATTCTGCCAGACATACAATGAGCATTAAATAAATCTTTGATGAGCAAAGAAGACTCGTTCTTACAAGTCCTCTACCACCCTCTACACACACACACACACACACACACACACACACACACACACACACGGCTACCCATGAGTGCTACTGTTTTATTTGCCTTTAGACTAAGCCAGGAATCCCCATGATTATGGAAAATGATCCCATGGATGACCTGGGAGAGGTGAGTCATGGGAAAGCTGTGAAAATCTATGGTATTATATAGTAAAGTTTATCAGCTCCCGTAGTGGCCAGTCATGTCCCCTGAAGGACCTCATTCCTTGTCCCTAAACTAATTCCTTGCTGCTGGAGAGGAATGAAAGCTGAATTGATTCCACAGAAAGAATGGGGATCTCAGAAGGTGTAATCTGCAATTTCAGTCCTTACATTTTCTGAAAACAATAGTTTCAATTCCTAAAACTTCCTTATAATGGAAATTGAGGGGAAAGTCTGAGAGAAACAAGTGAGAATTCTGGAATATGAGGACTTTGCTGAATGATTTGGTAATCCATTTCTGGAATTAGTTTTTCCCACTGGGAAAACCGTTGTTCCAGAGTGACAAGAGGAAACAAACAGCCCTCCTCTACTATTGCTTTGGCAGTAACAGGCTCAGCAGGAAAAAAAATGAAAATGGAAAGAACGTCAACATCTAGGTCCCTCTGCATCTCCAGTCATTGTGACTTGAACTTATTTCCCAGCTCTGACTCTTGCTGCTGTGTCCTTGAGCAAATGACTTCACATCCTCACAGAAACTGGTTTGTTTCTGCCCATTGTTGTTTAAAAAATTAAGTAGTGTATGACCAAGTCATACTTTGGTATATGGCACCAATTAAATGGTTAGTAACTATTATAGTTGTTATGGTTATTGCTATTGTCTTTTTAATTAGCTGCCTTATAGTCTTATGACTTCATTTAAGCTTTTCAAAATCCCTGGTACAATAAGCACTCATTAATTCTCAAAATTTTCCTATTGTTTATGGTGAAAGAAAATTTTATTCTAGTTACTTCTCATCTCGAGAACATTATAAAACATGATCCTGCAGTTGCTGAATATTGCTGTTGAGTTGGACAGCTGCATACAAATCAGGGCTCAAGGGCTGGGAAGGTGGCTCAGTGGTAGAGTGCTTGCCTTGCATGCTTGAGGCCCTGGGTTCGATCCCTCAGCACCACATAAGAAGAAAAAGCCAGAAGTGGCACGGTGGCTCAAGTGGTAGAGTACTAGCCTAAGCTGAAGAGCTGGGGGACAGCGCCCATGCCCAGAGTTCAGGCCTCACGACCAGCAAAAAAATAAAATAAAATAAAATAAAGGCTCAGATTCTATGCAGTGGTTTGGGTTGTGGCATTTATGCGTTATCTAGATACCTATGTGTTTAAACTGCTATTATAATCCTGAGTAGATTAATAGATTTAAGCAATTTTTCTGCTTCATTTAATCTCCAGAGTATCTTAGTGGACTAATAGTTTAAATAATACAAATAATTTAACGTTGAAGCTTTTGGCAGGTGTTTTTGTTTCTTATAGGAATAACTTAGAAGCCTGGCACCCATGTTTACAAGTAATGGGAGCTCAATCTAAATGTAAAGCCGCAAATTGCTTTCAAAAATCCTGTTTAAAAAGATACAGTTAGCCTCATGTGTTGCATGCCATGAAAGTTTCTCTTCTATACTCGTGCTTGCCTAGGTGCTACCTAAGAAAACCAGAGAACTTTGCTGGGAAATCAGCAAACAATCTCTTTAGAAGTTCCCATAACCAGTTACAGGGCTTCGGTCATCTGAGGGTTTTGATGTCTTGCCAAACATTAGTAATTCTTCACTAATAGTTTTGTGATCATTGCCATATCTTCAGTGAATTGTCAAGTTTTCAAGGCCCTTTTTGTTGTCTTCAATGAGCGTCTGAAATAAGTAAAGTGTCTGTCATTTTACAGATGAGAGATTGGAGACTGGAAAGTGTAAACATCTGGTTGAGTCACTATGAGTCAGCAGGGGGGATGCCTAGCATGCCCATCTGAGGATGGAGGAGGCACAAATTATTTGCACACCAGGGCTCCTCTGCTTTCAGAGAGTACTTGAGCGATCGGGGAAGGGAAGCAGCACTTCCTCTAGTTCCTCTTGTCTCCTCTAGCCTACTCCTACAATGTTCTCATTCCCCACTCATGAAGAAAGAAAAGAAAAAACGCTGCTAGAGCCATTTTCTCACACAAAAGACACCTTCAGAACCAGGACCACAGTACTATCCAGTTTGATGTGATCTGATTCCCAAATTCATATTTTAATCATATCTTTAGCAACCCAGAAAACTCTTTCTTCTATAGGAACTGTTAGGCTCTCTTTTGTGTAAAGTATCCATCCATGAACAATTAAATGCAAACTGGGGAAAAAAAATACACAGCAATGGATAACCAACTCAGCTCATTCAAATTGATCTCCTGGGGCTGGGAATGTGGCTTAGATGGCCCAGCATGCATGAAGCTCTGGGCTCAACTCCTCAGTACCACATAAACAGAAAAAGCTAGAAGCGATGCTGTGGCTCAAGTGGTAGAGTGCTAGCCTTGAGCAAAAGAAACTCAGAGACAGTGCCCAAGCCCTGAGTTCAAGCCCCAGGACTAGCAAAAAAAAAAAAAATTCATCTCCTAATCTTAGGAAAATATTATCTGGCCTTTTCTCATCCAACAAATCATGACCTTGTTTTCTTTTTCTGTAGTGACATTTTCTAGAAAACTGTCTTCATCAGCCTCATACTTTTTCTCTGTTTTCTTTTGTTTCTTTTTTCTTTTATATTTGTTCTTTATTTTTCTTACTTATCCCTGCCTCTTTATCGTCTTTTTCTTCCCCTTAATTTCTTCTCCCTTAATAGGCCTGAAAATGAAATTACATTCCATTTTACAGTATCTGTGAATAAAATTTTATATTCTGAATCCTTAATGCTTAACCCAAGAGAGTTGAAAAATCTGACTTGTTTTTTTCTTCTGTGGTAATTTGCACATTCATTTGTTTAAGCATTAAATTGTTGGAAAACTCACAGCATACTGACTAAGCAACAGCTTTACTGTGAGCAGATACAAATTTTGAGACCTAAAAGAAAGTGATATATCCAAAGGATCCAGAGAACTCTAACTAAAACTTCTTTGACCTTCTGATGTTGGACCCACTTAGCACTAGCTTTCTATCCAGATCTCAGCTCACCACTGGGATACAGGATAAATGCTGGTTACACTGGAATCTCTGAAGGTGAACATTCTAGCTCCCTGTGCAGTCTCCACCCTCAGAACCTACTCCACCAAAAACCAAATGCTAATAAAGCTTACAGGCTGGTATATCTGGCCCTAAAACAATTCACAGACCCACAGTGGCAGAATGCCCTTTATTTTTGGCTAGTACATTATGAAGATTTAGCTTATGGTCAGCAAACAGTAAGGCTGTAGATAAGCATTGGGACATGTCCATTCAGACATTCTAAGACTAGCTCTTTGGATGGATTTCTTGTTTTGCTTAAAACCTTTAAGTAGTTTTACAAAAGGGTTGCAATTCAACCTTTCAGTTTGCGAGTACAATGGTTGCATCTAAAATGGCTACGTTGGTATTTTCAAAATAGATTCTCCCGAGCACAATTGAAACAAAATGGAAGGGACCCATCGCAGAAGGCAGGTCTTTCTCACGAAGCTGGCCTGCCTCCTTCTCAGCCCTCACCTTCCACTTCACCTCCAGCATGGCTCTCTCAGCTCGGCCAGGACTTGCTCCCTCCTCTGCACAGTTCTCTTCAGCCATCCCACTGCCCTCTCCCTCCTGAGAACTTTCTTTTTTCCTCTGGCTGAGCCCACAAAGCCAGGGTGCATGCCTCCCTCCCCAGGTGTCTACCCCAATTTCCCTCCACACAAGCAGGAGCGGCTGCCCAGGGGCTCATGGGTACTGGCACCACTCATGGCTACTCTTCTCCAGCTCCACTTTGTACATGGTTTACAGAGGCTTCCATGGGGCCTACTACCCACATTGACTCCTAAGTCATGCCTTACCCTCCTGACACAAAGGCAGGAGGTGGTATGTTGGATGGGGTGGTACCAGCATGAGTAGGGATCAAGTGAAAATATTCTTACTGGGTTCCCTTATGGTGGGCTTGGATGCTGGCGGGTGCACTCAGATATGCAGCAGCCTCCGTGGTCTCCTCTTCCATCTTTTTTTTTTGGGGGGGTCTGGTCGTGGGGCCTGAACTCTGGGTCTGAGCGCTGTCCCTCAGCTCTTCAGCTCAAGGCTAGCGCTCTTCTACTTGAGCCACAGCACCACTTCCAGCTTTTTTTTTCTTTTTGCTTATGTGGTACTGAGGAATCGAACCCAGGGCCTCAGGCATACAAGGCAAGCTCTCTACCACTGAGCCAACTTCCCAGCCCTCCTCTTCCATCTTTAAGTCTCCTTTCACCTGTATGCTGATTCTCTTCTCTTTATCTTCTGGCGGCCTCATTGTGTCTCCTCTTCAGCTGTCCTGAGGATGCTCCTGGAAGAGTATAACGTGATTTAGTTGAGTCACAAGGTGCATGTACAGTTGAGAGAGATTGCAATAAGTCTTGAAGATTTATAGTAATGGAGAAAGGGTGGCAACACCCCATGGTGTGATGTCTTTACCTTTCTGCTTCATTGGAGAGTTAGGACAATTCAGAGCCACCAAAACAGCTTATGAATATATTCCTTCCATGCCCCAGATACTTAGTGATTAGCCCACGAAGGCAAATATATTATTTTCTACAGCAAAGCTATTCCCTATCTAACAATTACAGACCCTTCAGTGGAAGGGTCCATAACAAGTATTTTCTGGTATCAAAAATGTGAAATTTTCTCTTGATTCCTTTCCGGTCTATTCCTCCTGCTTGTGTGCTTCTTGTTATAAATCAATTTTGGAGGCAGAAGGAATAGCCTCAGGGTTCAGGCTGTTCAGGACCCTCAGGCTGGAGGCTCACTGAGTTGTTCTGAGCACATAAAAGCAAGCACAAGGATGCTAGTGGGAGAGATATTCTTGTTTGCTGAAAGCTCTTGCAATAAGCAGTCTGGAGGCTACAAAGCCTGCTAAGATCTGGACAATTAAGATCTTGATGTGAGGTCAGTTTGTCTCAAGACAGGTCTCTCTAAGGCTAGGATGGTAAGAAATCTAAGCAGCAGGAGCAGCTGCTTGCAGCAGGAGGTGTTGGCATGCATAGAAGGGGTGGAGCGCCCTTCACAGATGCCAGATTGCCTGCTTGTCCTTTACATGCAGCCTGTCACACTCTGACTTGCCTGGCACAATCGCCGGAAAGGCAACAGCCAATAAAATCTTCCTGATGTCTGACTTTTTTACCCTATTTTAAAGGTAAATAAATAGGAATTTACATCATATTGTACAAACAGCCTGCTTTCTCTCTCCTTTCTTGGATCATGTTCTTACATGGATAAAAGATTTATTTAGCAAATTTTGCAGCCTTAACCAGCTAGGCAATTCCCCTGCTAACCACAAGGAGGTACTTACAGGCAAGGAAGGCAGACTCCTCCAGTTCCAGTCTCCTCCCACTTCCAGAATACTATGTCCAAGTGGATGTGTGGATGTGTGCCTATACATTTTTTCTGCAGCACTTAAACACAAATGCAAACCTTTGCTCTTGTCCCCTGTACCAGCAAAATAAAGATGTTTCTGGCAAAAGTTATGTGGCAAAACAGAAAGTGTATTTCCCCTCAGGTGTATTTCCCCATGAATAGATGGAGCCTCTCAAAAAAGAAACAAAGAAAAGAAAGAAAGAAAAAAAGAAAGAAAGAAAGAAAGAAAGAAAGAAAGAAAGGAAGGAAGGAAGGAAGAAAGAAAGGAAAGAAGGAAGAAAGAAAGAAAGAGAAAGAGAGAAAAAGGGAGGAAGGGAGGGAGGAAGGAGGGAAAGAAGGAAGGAAGGAAGGAAGGAAGGAAGGAAGGAAGGAATGTAAGGCAACAAGTAAGGGTGGAATATGGACAAAAAAGTCCCCCCTGGGGCTGGGAAGGTGGCTCAGTGGTAGAGCGCTTGCCTTGCATGCATGAGGCCCTGGGTTCAATTCCTCAGCACCACATAAGCAAAAAAGAAAAAAGCCGGAAGTGGCGCTGTGGCTCAAGTGGTAGAGCACTAGCCTTGAGCTGAAGAGCTGAGGGACAGCGCCCAGGCCCAGAGTTCACGCCTCATGACCCAACCAAAAAAAAATCCCCCCAAAGTCATGCTTCAACACCACCTGTGATGTCAAGTATTCTGCCCAGTTGTCAGACCTAGGACGTTGACTTTTGTTTTGACATCACTGGCCATTGTAAATGAAGCTAATAGAGTAGCCAAATAGAGGAGACGAGTAAGCCAAAAGAAAACCCCTCAAGTGCAAAGAAACCTGGCAAAGTGAGAAACTGATTATGGAATGTTTTTTTTTCAATTATGTAACTAGAGTTGGAAAAGTTGAAATGCTATTTTGGCTCCTACTTCTCAGAAATAAAGGGTTGATCACCACTTATGCATATAGATATACACACACACACATACATATGTATATTTAAGTTTGGGAACCAAAAAGAGACAGGAACATTTTAAAGAAGGTGTCAATGGAAGCTAAAAAAGAAATAACTATAGAGGAAGCGGGAAATGTCACAGAACGAGATATGTGAAGACAAAAAGTGAAGGCTCCAGTGCATCTAAAACAAAATGGAGGAAAGATTCCACATAAAAATGAATTTGTAAACAAATGCAGAGACTGTTTTGAAATCGTTTCCTTCTTAGACTAAGATGCTAAAGGTTTTCACAAGAATGAAAATGAAAAGCCCCTTGGGAAAGATGCTATATCAATGTAGACAAGATAAATCATCTTTTAGTGGGCTACCTGGAGATACAAGAAATGAATCACGAAAATGGTTAAAGGCACTGAATGTGACTTTACCAACTTAAAAAAAAAGTTCATTTCCTAAGCCCTATATTCCTTCCTGGACCAACTAACAGAATATAAAAACCAGCCTTTGATACCTTATTGGATTAAATGAACTTAATTATTTTTCTTTATTTAATAAGACTGTGTATACATGAAGGCGTGATTTTGCTTTACTTTGCATTTTTTAGAAAAGAAAATGACATCATTTCTTTTTGATTTTTGTAGTCCTAGGGATGGAACCCAGGGCCTTATTCTAAGCTATGTTCTTGTCCCTAAAATTTCTTAATCTCTACATCTCTGCTACGTGCATGTGTCCTCATTATCTGGAAAAACAAGTTCTGTCCTGACTGGCTTCAAACCATGATCCCCTGGATCTCAGATTCCTGAACAGTTTGGTTCATAGGTATGAACCACTGGCACCTGATATATTTTATCATTTCAATATAGTCTATTCAGTTTGCCTAACACCACTGCTTAAAATTATTTGCTATCCAGGCACCAGTGGTTCATGCTTGGAATTCTAGCTACTCAGGAAGCTGAGATCTGAGGATCATGGTTCAAAGCCAGCCCAGGCAGGAAAGTCCAGGAGACTCTTATCTCCAATAAACCCCTCAGAAAACCAGAAGTGTCGCTGTGGTTCCAGTGGTAGAGTGCTAGCCTTGAGCTGAAGAGCTCAGGGACAGCGCGCAGGCTCAGAGTTCAAGCCCCATGACCAACAAAAATTAATTAAGTAATTAATTAAATAATTGTTAGTGCTTTCTACTTTGTGAGGCTCTTGGGCAGGATTGGGAGTGTGGCACTAGAGGAGGTAGATATAAAGTAACTGGCTTCTTCACAAGCAATGTCTTCACCAGAAGGATTAAAAACAATACACACCGAGACAAAGAGAGCACAAAGCAACATGTTTCATAGGTGGTAACCATGACAGCATATGCCAGAAAAATCTCAGCATCCCTGCTTGGAGAGCAGACCTTCTCCTGAGTCACTTTTTCCTCTAAATTCAACATCTTCTTGACAATATCTGAACAATATCACAGAACTCACGCTATATTACCTATCTTAATTGATTAAAAGTTCATGTAGATGAATGGTGGTAGGTACCAGCTGATAAATAGTTTGTTGGTTTTGTTCATTAGTGTTACTTAAAAAATAGTATACCATTGCCAAGCTTCAGTGCCTCACACCTGTAATCCTAGCTGCTCAGAAGTTTGTCTGAGGATTGTGGTTTGAAGCCAGCCTGGGCAAAAAGTCCCCCTGAGACTCTGATCTCCAATTAACCACTCAAAAACAGGAAGTGGAGCAATGGATCAAGGTGGTAGAGTGCTAGCCATGAGCAAAAGAGCTCAGGGACAGCACCCAGGCCCTGAGTTCAAGTCCCACAATTGACAAAAAAAAAAACAACTGCACCCTCACTGGGGGCATAGCTCAAGTAGTAAAGCAAATGTGAGGTCCTAAGTTTAATCTTTAGGACTGTCAAATAGATAATAGAAAAAATAATTCACCTTCAATAATAACCTAGTGCAATTTTGAAAATATCTGTTACAAGTTATTATAAACATATTCTCCTATTACATGAATAGGCAAAACACCCATATTTGAGGTGCCCAATATGCTCACAGACAAGAGGGCAGGTGAGAGATCAGAATTCCATCCGCACCCAACAGCATTAGCTACTTACTTCAGCAAGTAATAACTTCAATACTACCACTAAAATCCTTCCAGATGTGTCCAGAAAGATGTGACATCTGGTGATTGGTGGTTTAGTTCAATGTCCCACTACCATTTGGGGGTTTTACAAAAAGTGGAGGTTAAATGGTTTCTAAAGATGACTCATAGGTACTGAAATGGCAAAGCTTATGAATCTGCAGATCTTTTCAGGAAAAGTCCCTGGATACAACATTCAACACATTATGCATTCTCTGCTATATCTTAAAGCAAGGAGTCCTTCCAAGTCCCATGGGAGCTACTCTGGCACACTCTGTAAGAGGGACAGCCAGATACACGTTTTCTTTCTCAGATCAGGAACAAACCAGTAAATGCACAAAATAGCTCAGAGGTGGGAAGCCCAAAGTAGAATCTTGGCTGAGGCCATTTCAAAATTTACTGGTTGCTGATGTATATTCTTGCTTTGTAGCCAAGACTTCCCTGGGTCAAACTCAATTTCTTTTCATTGAGATGGTATCTTCTTAACTTTTTGTCCAGGCTAGCTTTAAACTATGATCTCTCAGATTTCTAACTTCTGAGAAGCTGGGGCTACAAGTGTAAACCTCTATACCTAACCAAAAATAATTTTTGAAAAAGAATTTCTTCAAGCTGAATGAAAGTGGATAATACCTGCTTTCCTAAAGAATTTCTGACAGAAGGAAAAATGTTGCAATTCTACTTATCATAACTCTTAATTAACTAGTAACTTGTTAATTTACCAATGAAGGAAATTAATACAATATGGATGGATTGTCAGAGACTTAAAAGATCTAAACATTGTAAGGGTCTTTCTAAGTCATATAAACACAATTATTTGCAGTACATATAACTTGAATATTTACGAATGGTGGAATTCTGCAATATAAT